CCCCTCCAAGGGCCTGCTGCTGCTGCTGGCTGCTGCTGCTGTGCCAGAAGCACGCTCCTGCCACGACCGCTGCTGCTGCTGCTGCTGCTGCTGCTGCTCGTATGAGCTGCTGCCTTCGTTGCAGGAGGAGTCCGATGCCTCATTGACGCTGATAGTGCTCACACTGCGGCTCCTGCTCCTGCAACAGGTGCAGCAACAACAACACAAATAGCAGCAGATTGGTGACGGCTGCAGCAGCAACAGAAACAACAGCAGCAGCCACGGCACCTGGCACACGCAACTCATTCCCTCTACTGCAGCAGCAGCAATATCAGCAGCAGCAGCGAATGCACGAGATGCAAACGCACACTTTCCTTTCCCTATCAATGAACGATCCCCGTCCAGAAAGGGGGCCCCCAGGGGGCCCCTCTCTATCGGCACCGCAGCTGCTGTTGCTGCTGTTGCTGCCCCTGCTGCTGCAGCTCCTCCGTCTCCTCCATCCACCTGACGGAGGAAACCGCCGCATATCTGCGTAGTACTGCTGTTGCTGCTGCGCATGCATCTGCTGCATCTGCTGCAGCTGCTCTGGCGGCAACCGCCGCTGCAGCACACGCGGGGGTGGGCCCCGCGGATCACCAATACCCCCGAGGTACCCCTCCCTCTCTTCTGCCCTCCCATAGTAGGAGACGCGCAGTAAAGGCGGCCCCGGGCTGTCGCTACACCTGCGCATTGGGTACATGGGGGGCCCCAGAGGGCCCCCACGGGGGCCCCCAAAGTACTCGTACCCAGGGGCCCCTAAAGGGCCCCTGGGACCCCCCCTGTCCGGAGGCATCGGTGGGTGAGGTTCTGAAACGCCGCTACCATCGCGGGGGCCGGAAGACTGCAACAACGACAGCAACAGCAGCAACACAAGCAGAAGGAGCAGCAGCAGATGCAGAAAGAAGCTGGGGCTGGTGCACGTCGCGTCACCCCCTATCAGCAGCAGCGGCAGCAGCTGCCGCATCAGCAGATAATCCAACGCCAGAAGCAAAAGCACATATCAGCAGCAGGGACAAAAACCATAACAAGGAGAACCACGACAAAAAACAACAACGCCAACATCAGCAGCAGCCTACCCAGGGCGCGTGGGGTGGAGGAAGTCGCTGGCGGTGCGGCTGGCGCGGC